TGATGTGGCGGTTCAGCTCCTGGCGAGCTCTGAGCTGAGAACAACACGAGCTCTGCACCTCCCTGGCCACGGCTGCATGTTTTCCCTCCTTCACCTTCACGGCTTTAGGACCCTTCCTGTATTTAGGACTCTCCGGGACCTGAGCCCCCTGACCATGGAAAGGCTCCCCCTTCCACTCACCCCGTCCACTGAGGTACTGTTGGGAGGCCCCAAAAGCAGTATAGAGGAACTCATGTGCGGGGTGCAATACAGCCTTCTCCTAGGGAGCCAGCCAGCATCTGTTCCTTCTTTTTCTCTCTGGCCACAGGTTCCATCTCACTCTGGGAGAATATTCAAATAGAGCCCAAGTCTCCACCTCTCAAGACCTCACCCCAGCTGCAGCCCAGCTTCTGCTGCTTGAGGCTTGCTGGCTGGCTCTGCTCCATCAGTCACCCCATTCTCAGCGGGAGCCCCTGCTCCACCGCCCCCCACCCCAGGGTGTTCCTGTCTTCTGCTCTGGCCTGGCTCCGGAAGCCTGCACTTTGGGAGGATAATGGCTCCTGAGGACTGTCTTTGTCTGTGCTAAACCACGGGAAAGTGAGCGTTGGTTAGAATCCTGAAAGGCGCTTGTTAGGATAATAAGCTCCCTGCCCTGTTAATTGTCAGGTGGGTCTGCCTCCCAGCTCTCCCCAACCCTACTCCTGGCTCACAGGTGGCTACTCACACGTGGAATTGACTCCAGACAGTATTGCCACCCTAATGCCCATCACCTCTGAAAGTACTGGGCTGTGGGGGTAGGGCTTTAATTTCCAACAAAATACCATCAAGGAGCCTCTGCTTCCCCTGCCCCACCGGCCCCAGGGAGCCCACAGGCAGTGCCTCCTCTGGCCACCCCAGGACCCCCTCCTTTCCGGAGCCACCACTATCTCACTCACCTGGGGGGAGGTGTATGTGGGGGTGCTGCAGAAGTGTGAATATATCCTGGGGTGGGGGGCACAGAACCAGAAAAGGTGGGTTCTGCAAACATCATAGCCAATGGAGACAGTGGGTGGTGGGGGGAAGCAGAGAGGGGGCTGCACCAAGGACTTGGGACATGAATTCCTTGTTCCCTTAGAGCAATCTGGCCCCTGACCCAGGGAGGTCCCCAAGCAGCTTCTGCGACAACAGGACCAGTGTTTATTTGAAACAAAGCACCACGGGGGAATGAGGGCTGAGTCAGAGCCGGCGGCCCCCGCAGCCTGGTGGGAACATGAAGATGTGTCCACACATCTCGGAGGGAGAACCGCAAGGATTGCCAGAGAGGCCTGCGTCGGGGGAGAGCAGGGAAGGGATGAGCCTGCAAGAAGCATGGAGATGGAGTCCAGGGAGGCTTTCTGGAAGAGGTGGCACTTGCACTGAGCCTGGAGGAATGGGTTTTCAGGAAAGGTTATGGAGAAACCTGCTCCAGATAGAGAAGTCAGGAGAGAAGCAGGAAGGAGAGGGGGTAGCAAAGCAGTGGGCAGCATTGTGGAGGGGCACAGGGAGGGTTCTACAAGTCTCCCTGAGATGGGTCTTCATTCATGTGGCTGTGGGGAGTCTGTGACGGTTAGGGAGCAAAAGCAACATGCCCCAGCAGGTGGAAGGGGACATCAGGGTTGAAACCACATTGGAGATGGCTGTGATGGCTCTTGGGAGCCAAGCTGCTCAGGGCGCTGCCATGAGCATCAGCAAAGGGGACATTTGTGACAAGCCCAGGCTCCGGTCCCCGAGAGCACTCAGCTTAAAGGGAGAGGCCGTCATTTCGGTTGGGCTCCTTGGTGGAAAGGGAGGGACAAGCAGGAACAGAGTGACTCACACCTCCAGCTCCAGTGCCATGGCAATCAGGACCGTTCCCTTGCCCTGCTCTTCTCTGACCCAAGGGTCCAGTGCTCCAAGTGGCCAGCAGAGGGGACTAGGGAGCAGGGAATTCCCCGGGGGAGAACTGAGGCTGGGCTCAGAGACCAGCAAGACCCCAGGTCCAGTGCACCTGGTGCTCTGTCCTTGTGGGACAGCAACAGAAGGAGTGGCTGGCCCCTTTTCTCTGCTAGGAAGGAAAGCAGCTGGCTTATGAAGGCTCATTTCAGTCTCACAATGCCCACATGACAGGGAAGTTATGGCACCCTGACTCCTCCCCCTCCTCTCACCCAGGAGTTCAGGGAGGCACAGAGATGTTGGGCATTTCCTGTGAGGTCACACAGCATTCCACAGGAAGTGATCCCCTTGCTAACACAACACAACACAATACTGCCCTACAGGCAGAGTCTGACTTCGAAAGGAGACCTCCCAACCCCAGCACCAACAGCCCAGGTGGACAATGGTGGTCAAGGCAGTGTGGGGCAGCATGGTGCATGCTGAGTAGAAGAGAGCTCAGCTGGCTCTCTCCTGCTTCTCCCCACCCAGGGCCTAGCCTCCCAGCCCAGCTCCCAGAGGTGTGTGTGGTTCCGGTCCTGACGCAGCCCCTAATGCGCGGGCTGACTGGGGCTTCCCGCTCCTCTGGACTCCAGTGGCTTCTCTGAGTGTGGAGGCGGTGGACCCGCTGACCTCTGAGGCCCTTGCAGCTGCACGCTTTTGTAGGATGCACAATCAGCCCCTTCTTCTGTGCCCTGACCGAGGAGGCATGTGGATGGAGACATTTCAGCCTTATTGCTCTAGGGATACCCCTTGGGGGGAGGAGGACGGAGGGGAATCTGGCATGGCCTCTGGAGGGACTTGGTGACTGCATGAGGTCTTGGGGTCTCCCTACCCTTCATGACTTCATGCCTGAGAACACGCAGGTGTGTGGACGCTGGCATCCTCCCTCCCTCCCCCCCACCACTGCCTCACTAAATGGAAGACATCAATGCTGGGCAGGACCCTCCTTCTCCTGAAGGCAGCCCCCGCCATGCTCAGTCTGAGGTCCCATGGAACCCCCACCCTATGTCACCCACCAAGAATGCTACAGCAGGGGCTGGAACTCAAGCTGTGGTGGCTGACCACAGGCCTGGGGTTCTCTACTTGGGCTGGGACCACCCACCTCCAGCCCTCTCCTTTGCTTGGAACACAAACGGGCAGCTTGGCCTCCTGGCCAACCCTGGAGCCCACAATCAGGTTCAGAGACCCCTTGACCTGGACCCCAGACAACAGAGTGTTAGGGACCTCTCCTCTCTCTCTTTAAGATTTATTTTTTCTTGGAAAGGCAGATTTGCAGAGAGGAGAGATAGAAGTCTTGCATCAGCTGGTTCACTCCCCCAAATAACTGCAATAGCCAGAGCTGAGCTGATCCAAAGCCAGGAGCCAGGAGCGTCTTCTGGCTCTCCCATGTGGGTGCAGGGTCCCAAGAACTTGATCCTCCTCTACTGCTTTCCCAAGTTATAAGCAGGGAGCTGGACAGGAAATGTGGCAGCTTTCTCTAGACAAGAACTCGTGCCCATATGGGATGCTGGTACCACAGGGTGGAGGATTAGCCTGTTGAGGGACAGTGCGGACCTTGAGGCATCACTTTCTGCACCGGCATGGGGCTTGGCGACGTCCATAGGCTTGCTGCATGCTCCCATGTTACATCTGCATTTTGGCTAAACAACAAATAGATAAATTTGTGGCAATGGCTGTGTTTAAAAATTGATTTCAAATAAAATTTTGTTGTTTGCCTGGCTCCCCTAGATCCAGGTCAGGTGGATGCCAGAAACCCAGAGGGAGGTATTACCAGCCTCAGCTGCCTCTTGAGCCTTCCTAGCCCGTGGCAGGGGGACCAGGAGAAAGGCTAGCAGGAAGTGTGTGATGGGGAGGGGGTGACCTCAGGCCTTAGATGAGCTTTGATGAGCCAGGGGTCTGGGGCAGGAGTGCTGCTGAGAGAAGGCTCCAGTGCTCCTTGGTAGGGGGGACCTCGGTATTCACCACAACTGCAGTGGGGTATGTACCCCCGCCCCCTCCAAGCTTCTAATAGCTAGGGCTGCCAATAGGGGCCTGGTCCAATCTCCACTTGGATCAGGAAACTAGAAGATTGTGTTCTTAAGGACTGAAAAGGGCCAAGAGATAATGAGAAACAGACTGTGGGAGAGAGAGGGAGAGACCGGGAGAGTCCCTGGGAACAGACCTTGCCTGGCCACCGCAGCAGCAAACCTTAGAGGCAGGAAATGGGAGCAAAAGCCCGGGAACCCAGCTTGCTATGCCTCCTGACTAGCAGGGGATAACTCAGGGGACCTGCACGGAGTAAAGCGGGTCCTTTCCTCCACTGGGCACGCAGCCTGCTGGGCAAGGCAGAAAGAAAAAGAGCAGGGGGCCGGCTTTTCTCGTGGGTGTCCTCAAGGTCACAGTCAGGCTGGAGTCGCTAAATGAGCATGCTCGGGCCTCCTGCCCCCTGTCCCTGCCGCCCCCGAGCAGCTCCTCCGGAGGGCGACCCAGGCCGGGGTCCCAGCCCTGCACCCTGGGGCTCCTGGACGACGCTGCCCCCTGCCGGCCAGCCTCGGTCAGCACGGCGGGGCTAGGGCGCTGCAGCCGCCCGGGGATTTGTCGCCCACTGCCCCGGCAGGATCTCCCAGGAATCCGGATGGGCCTTCACTCCCCGACAGCTCCTCTCACGGGCAGCACCCAGGCTTGCACTGGCGCCGCGCCCCGGACCCACAGTCTCGGTCCCCTGCTTTCCTTCCACGGCCGAGAAGCAAAACCCTTGCTGGTCCTCTTACCACCCAGCACGGGGGTCCCTTGTACCGACCCTGCCCCAGGTGCAGCTCAGCTCCCTGGGGTCGACTACACTGAGAGTTGGATAAAGATGTAACTCTGCCGTTTGGAGCTGGCCCCGCGGGGGTGTTCAATCAGTGCATCTCTCACCTACCAAGTCCCCAATCCAACCTTTCCTCTATTCTTCCCCTTGCTTCCTCCCTTCCCGGCCCCGCCCATGCCAGGTGCATCGGCTCCGCCCCCGTCCCAAGGCGGGGCCCCATAGGTGGAGAGCAGTGGGAGAGGTCGCGGCCCCGCCTCTCCCTCTTTCCCCATACACACGGAAGCTCAGGGGCCCCCAGGCCAGGATGTCGGACGCCCGGGTCCCCGGCCTTGCGCCCACCATGCTGCTTGGCCTCCTGGCCGGCCTCCAACAGGCGAGCGCCTTCGAGGTAAGGCTGCCACACTTTCCCGGCCCTGCCCTGCCTCGTGGGACGGGGCGTGCTACCGGAGGCCCCTCTGCAGACTCTTCCCTGAACAGACCCAGTTAGCAACCTGCTTTCTCTAGTAGAGGAGTAGAGGAGGCTTTGAGGAAGCCCCAGGTCCTCCTTCTTTGGTACGCATTGTGTAGTGGGAACGGGGAGCCCCTCTGGGCTGACACCCAGGGCCTCCACCTCGAGGAGACTTTGACCCCAATAGTAAGTAGTCTTCATTTCTCCTTCCAGCTCCTTGCCTTCTGGGCAAGAAAGCAGGGCCAATGGTGCAAACACTTGGGCCGGCCATGTCCCCAGCTCCCCACTGCAGTGCTGGGTGACCTTGGGGACAGCCCCGACCTCTCTGGGACGGTTTCTCCGCCCGTGCCCGGGGGCAGAGAGGAGCCTGCCTGCTCTCTACTGGGAGAGAGGGTAAGACCTCAGGTGGTGCAGGACGAATCCTGGCTGCCAGATCCCAAGCTTGGGGTAATCTCTGGAGTGGGGCATGGGAGAGTGAGGCCGGTTTTGAGCGCTGCCCCAAGCCTGCTCTTTCCGCCAAAGCTCCACCTGAGGTGAGACATGCCAGCAGGCTCGGCTCAGGAGATCATAATGCAGATCGACATGAGTCTAGAACACGCCTCTGTAACATACTTCCCTTTGGGAATCAGAGGTCAAGCTGTGCCAGGCCTGCTGCCCGGGTCGCTGGGTGCAGCTGGGCTGAACTGGGTGCTCTCTGCAGCAGCCAATCCATCTGCAGAGCCAGGTTCAAGGGTGTGATGTCCCTGCTCAGAGAGGGACAGTCGGTAGGTGTCTGTGTCAGCGCTGGGTTGCACATCCCTTGGTGGTAGATAGGTGCTGTCGGTGCCCTGTTGGCAGGACATTAGCTGGGGGTTACCATGAAAAACAGGCTCTGAGCCACCTTACACAGATCACCCTGGGAGTCAATGGGGAGATAGTCTGGGTCCTGGAGAGAGACAGTGAGGGACCGAGAAGGGACCTGAGAGGAAGGGGTGCTGCTGAGTGTTGGGCGGCCGGGTTTCCCTCAAGCTCTGTGATGTAGGAGGCCCCACGCCCTCTGCGCCAGCCTGCCAAGATGTCCTCCTGCTCCTGTCCCCACTGAGGGACAAAGCTTGTGACGAGGCACAAGCTCAGGAATCAACTCGCCTGTTGTCCTTAGCAACTGAAGTGATACTTTAAATAAAGGTATCAAGATACTAGTGATCTTGCCAAATCAGCTCCCTCTGCTTGAGCCCTAGTTGTATGTCCCAAGGGGGTGGGGTCCACTAACAGACATCACCCCCATTCCTGCACCCCTGCATCCACCTCCCCCACCTGGGGGAGGATGCAACCAGGTAACTCTTGAAAGCTCATTCAGGTATTTTGACCATTGGATTTTCAACAATGCTGAAGTCAACAAAAATCCCTACCCTCAGATTTGCATTCCTCTGAGTAGGAGCACAGTCAGTGAGTATGCCATGTGGTAGGGGAGTACCTGAGAGAAAGGTTAAGCAGTTAGGGGCAGGGGAGTGCTGTGGGGGAGTGGCTGGTGCCGGAGCCAGCCTTGCACACATCTGGAATGGCTGAGTTGGTAAGGATGGTAAGGACGCCTGGCCACCCTGCAGGGCTAGAGCTCCCAGAAGGGAGAGGGAGGCCATGGGGAGGGGGCGGGGTGCTCCTGGCAGCTCTGCACAGCTGTCGTTTCTCCAGGTGGGGTGGGACAGCAGGTGGATGTGAAAAGCAAGGGGAAAGGATGCTGAGGGGAAGGGGGCTTCCAGCAAGGGGGTGAGGTGACCAGCTGTGTGCACCAGCTGGAGTCCTCCTTCCTGTCGTGTTTACAGTGACAGGGGTGAGGGTGAAGACAGTCTTGGCGCACTTGACCATGACTGTCATGGACTCAGAACTGGAAGGATGATCTGGAGGGGGGTGAGCTTCTGCCCTTAGGGGAGTGAACTGAGGGGAGGTGTTGGGAAAGGAGGAGAGCTCTGGTTAGCTGGGTTCTGGGCTTCTACCTGGGGATGTATGGATGTGTGAGGTCAGGTTGGGAGAAGCTAGATGTATGGGGTGCCTGAGTAACTGCTGAGCTAAGGCCTTTGCCCTTGTTCTCTGATGACCTCTGACCTCTGCTGCCTTTCCTCTGCAGGCTGCAACCAAATGTATCCGCTCCTCGTAAGTCTGGGCCTGGGGCTTGAATTTCCAGTCTGGGGAGGATGGGGAAGGGACAGCCCACATCATGCCCTCAGTCGGATGGGGAGCACACACCTCAGCTGGTGTCCTCTCCCACTCCCATTCCAGCTGGAAACCAGCCTTCTAATTTTCCCCAAACAGACAAGGAGAACCCCCAAATCAACCACTTATGGGGAGTGGGACAGACTATCGGGGATCCCTCTCACAGCCATTACAGGACTGAGCAGGGACTCTGTGTGACCTAAATATGCAAGGGGGACCCAAAAAACTTGTGCAAAAGTGGAATGTAAAGGCAGGTTTATGTTGGCACAAACAATTTTGAAATCTAGGCATAATTTTCCCATGATCTTTGGGAAGGACATGTGTGGATTTCAAAAATTTTTGCACCCCACAAAATTTTTTTTAAAGCATTTGTTTATTCAAGAGGTGAGCAGTGGAGGGGGGAGAGAAAGAGAGACCTGCTATCCATCTATTGGTTCACTGTTTAAATGCTTCCAATAGCCAGAGCTGGGGCAGAAGCTGGGAACCCGACCTAGGTCTCCCATGTGGGTGACAGGGACCAATCACTGGAGTCCTCATCTGCTGTCTCCTGGGGGCTGCAGGGAAGCGACATCAAGAGCCAGAGTCAGGGTTAGTTCAAGCACTCTGACATGGGATGCGGGCATCTCTACCAGGATGCCGAACATCCACCCTGCGAAGTCATCTGCTTGTTTTCCTTCCTTTTTAAAAGATTATTATTATTATTATTGAAAAGTAGGTTTACAGAGAGAAAAAGAGAGAAAAAAAAGATCTTCCATCCAGTGATTCACTCCCAAATGACCACAATGGCCAGAGCTGAGCCCATCTGAAGCCTGGAACTTCTCCCAGGTCTCCCACATGGGTGCAGGTGCCCTAGGACTTGGGGCATCTTCCATTGCTTTCCCAGGTCACAAGCAGGGAGCAGGATTAGAAGTGGAGCAGCCAGAACTAGAACCAGAGGATTAGCCAGTTGAGTCACTGTGTCAGTCCTGAATTCATCTTTTAATTTCTTCTTCCACAAACTTGTTGAAGTCCCCTCGTCAGATCTTTTTTTTTTTTTAAGATTTATTTTTATTGGAAAGGCAGAGTTACAGAAAGATCTTCCATTCATTTGTTCACTCAATAAGTGACAGCACAGCTGGAGCTGAGCTGATCCTAAGCCAGGGTCTCCTATGTAGGTGCAGGGTCCCAAGGCTTTGGGCTGTACTCGACTGCTTTCCCAGACCACAAGCAGGGAGCTGGATGGGAAGTGGGTCAGCCGGGACATGAACTGGTGCCCATATTGGATCCTGGCACATGCAGGACAAGAATTTAGCCACTGAGCCATCACACTGTGTTTCCCTCATCAGATTTTAAGAGGCCAGATGGGGATCTTAGCAGGAAAGTATTTCTGTCAAATAGGTACAGTGTATTCCTGAAGCACTTTGTTCTGCCCTTCTATTCCACGGGCCCCCATCATGCTCACTGCTCCTTAGCTTAGCTCCTGGTCCCTCCCATTGCTTCTTTCTCTGCATTGTCCTTAAAGCCAAATGAGTGATGTCATAGCCACTGCAGCTCAACCCCCAGGGTCAACAAGCTAGTCATGATACCCATTTTCCAGATGAGCAAAGTGAGACCCCATAGGAAGCAAGAACCTAGCACAAGAGCCGGAATCTAGTTGTGAGCAGAAGCAAAGTCTGAATCCCAGCCCTCAGGTCCTCCTGTGGAACTGAGCGGAGGCCCACACCCCCTATTCCCCAACAGTGGTTTATGCCTGTATTTAGGGGAGGACGGTCTTCCCACCTTTCATCCCTGGCATCTACAACCTCACCTTTCTCCTGATCAGCACCTGCCCGGAGGGATTGCAGTGCTGTGGGAAGAATTGCTGCCCGGAGACTGAGTTCTTCTCTGGCGCCCTGAGGTGAGCACAGGGCATAGTCCCCTGAGGGTCCTGGTCCCCACTGGACAGGCCTGGACCTCGGAGGTCAGGGTAGCGGGCTGGGCTGGGCACATGGGGTAGTGACACCGCTGGTCCCCACCTAGGATCCTCGTCATCATCTTCCTGGTGCTCCTGCCCATCTTGTGCATCTGTGGCCTGGCCAAGCGTTTTTGTCGCAACTGCAGAGATCCAGAGCGGGACCCCACCATGGAGCACCAGGGGCCCCCGGAAGTGCCCTCCACGGTCCCTGTGGAAAGAGTCTGGGTGTCTACCTATGATCCCCCACCCCCCTACAGTGAGGTGGGTGTCCCAGTGTCTGGTATGTGCTGGGCTGGCTGTCCCTCACTGGTGTCCAGCTCTCTGGATCAGCAGGGTCCAGAGGGCTTCACAGACACCATACCCTGGGGCAGGGGGTTGGGGATTCTGCCACCAGCCACCACCACAGCCTCTGTGCCCCAGTACCCAGGCTCAGTTGGGCCCTGAGGGTCTTCTTATTCTGCAGATTGTCCTGAAGCCTGCCCTGGATCCAACCCCAACAGAGCCGCCCCCGCCCTACAGCCTCACGCCAGAAGACCACACCGAAATGCCAGAGGGCATCGACAACCCTGCCTTCTTAGTCACCTCGACCTCATCCCTCCCAGAGCAAGCCAGAGACTTCTGCCACCTGGGAGTGCTTCAGCCATCTGCAGCCTCTGGCTGTCCTCAGATTTAACTTATTGCTTTTCCTGCCTCTGGGTTCCATTCCAGTTGCCTCTGTCACCTTGAGGGCTGGGCTGGAGCCACAAAACCTGCCCCTTCCCTGAGCTGGAGGCAGCCAGGAAGGCAACTGGTCAAACTAGAGGGGTCTGGTCGTATCATTGGCTACTCTATGGGATAGTGAGTGCCCCATCTCTGGAGGTAAATAGATCTCGACAAGCCAGCCAGCTCACAGCTATTGTGGAGACATGTCTGCCTTGTGGAAAATGGGACTGGGTGAACTGTGAGCAGTGTCTTCCAGTTCCACCTGAAAAGAGAAGGCCCAAGTGTAACCAACCTCAACACATACCAAACACTTTTGGTATGTCCTCACCAAATGGCGGCTGCCTGTAGCTGCAAGTCTGCCTCTGGCTGTGGGAAGAGGTGGGAAGGGATATCCAGGTGCTGCAGGGGGAAGGGGAGGATGCTGTGCCGACCCTCCCCACCCCCCCAATAGAGAGCGCTCCCCAAGCCACCTTCGGCCAGGGGCTTGTTGCAGGTGCCTCAGCCTCCTGTCCCTTGAGGTTGCAGGTATGGAAGAGCCTGACGATGTGGCAGGTCCTCACCTTGCAGCATTCCCTGTAGCGTCCTTGTACTGCTGTCCCCGGATGTATGGGGCACCTCCCCTGGGGCTGGTGAGAAGTTGGCAGAAAGGGAGAGCTGGCAAACAACCTGCTGGGGAAGGTGGGGCTGGGCATCAGGCCAGGAGAGGCGAGTGGGTGGGGCTGGGGCCCTAGGAGATCTTGATCAGCTGCACCCTGGAGCTGTACCTGGAGACGAGAGGAGTATGGAGAAGGCTGATACTGCCCTGCTCTGCAAGCCCTCCTGGAGCCCTGGAAGCTGCCATTCAGCTCCACCTGCGAGGGTAACCATCATGCCACTGTAGCATGGGGCAGGCCCTAGTGAGCATTCATCCCACCTCCACCCTCAGGCTATAGCAGGTAAAGGCTGGAAGCCCAGGCCAGGTCTTGCAGAAAGAAAAGGGTCCTGGTGCCTGTGGCTCATAGTCCAGGCAGGCGCCCCCTCATCCCTGCCTTTGCACTGTGCCCTTGTATAGCCCACGGGTGGGGCCATAGCAAGGCCAGAGGCTACCAGGGTGGAGGCTCCCCATGCAGTCCAGGGCTACCGTAGTCTCTGGCAAGATGGCACCTGAATCAGCAGTGGGAGAATGAGCCCAACTCTCAGTGGACATTTCTCTCCGCTTACGAGGGTCCACTGGTAGGAAAAGGAGACTCTGGGTGCTTGGTGTCATAGTGGTTGGCACTCCAGTCAGTGCCCAAAGCAGCACAGGAGGCTGAACAGATGGACTGCCCCTTGGCCAGGGCCTTGTCCTTCTTTTATCAGAGAAGCCACAGACCCTTGAAATGCTCCTCCCTGGCAGCAGCAGAGTAGCCTGAAAAGTGGCCACCTAACTGGCGCCATGTTATGGCAGGCTAATCTTCTGCCTGTGATACTGGCATCCTATAAGGTCGCTGGTTCAAGTCCCAGCTGCTCCACTTTGATCCAGTTCCTCGCTTATCACCTGGAAAAACAAAGAAGGATGTTCAAGTCCCTGGACCCCTGCACCCACGTTGGAGACCCGGAGGAGGCATCTGGCTTTGGATCAGCTCAGTTACAGCTGTTGCCGTCATTTGGGGAGTGAATCAGCAAATGCAAGATCTCTCTCTCTGTGTCTCCTTCTCTCTGTAACTCTACCTTTCACATAAAAATAAATAAATCTTTAAAAAAAGAAAGTATCTACCTGAAGCTTTGTGTTGTAGGAACCTGATGGCAGGAATGACCCCATTCTGTGGCTCTCTGGGTCGATGTGTTTGGGAGTGGGAAGGACGTGATCTTCCCAGAGGGCCATCTGGCCCCACTCACCTGGGTCACAGGTATTCACACGCTCCTGGCAGATGTGAGACCCATACCCATGCTTGGCTGTGGACATCCAGGAAAATGGAAAGTGCACCTGACCAAGACATCCCACTTCTAGGAAGGAGCCTTCAAAAAGGTTCAGACCAAAGCACTCCCAGAGCCGCCCACCGCCCCTGTGTAGCTGAGCGAAATGAAAACCCTGATTCACCAGTGTCTGCTAAAGAAGCAGATGTACCCTTTCTGTGAGTGTGCCATTCTGGAAAGAATGGAGGGCTCCTGCAGCACTTCTTGGCACAAGGTCAGCTTCTCACTGTTACGGAGGAAGCACAGATTGTGGCATGCAAACCTCAGATCTCCACCTGTAAGGTGATCCTCCAGCACATGTTTTATGAGCCTGAGTACTCTCTTTGCAAGGATGATGGTAAGACCTAGTAGGATATGAAGCAAACCACATTCACCACACTTAACAGCTGTTGGCACCAGGGAACAGGAAGGAGGCAGCCAATTGTAAGCACGGTGATGTGTTTTGTTTTGAAGACAAGCAAGATTTTCTGATTGATGCTTATGTTATTTTTGTTTATTTGAAAGGCAGATGCACAGAAAGAGAGAGAGAGAAATTTTCATCTACTGATTCACTCCCCAAATGCCTGCAGCATTGGCAGAGCTGGGCCAGGCTGTAGCCATGTGTTTCTGACGTAGCTGGCAGAGACCCAAGTATGTGAGCTGTCACCTGCTACCTGCCAGGGTGTGAATTAGCAAGAAGTTGGAATTAGAAGCAGAGCTGGGGCCTGAGTCCAGATACTCCCATTTGAAATGTGGAATGTGGGCGTCCCAAGCAGGGCCTTAAGAGCTGTGCAAGTTGTCCTGGGGTGGGGAGGGTGGTCTGTGACATTCACTACCTGGAAAATGTTAGTGATCGCTCTGCTAGGCAAACATGGCGGCTGGGACATATAGGGAACTCACACGGTTATAGATTCATTTTGTGATTTTTTTTTCTTTCAGATTTATTTTCTTGTTATTTGAAAGGCAGAGTTACAGAGAGGAGAGACCGAGAAAGAGAGATCCTCCATCTGCTAGTTCACTCCCCAAATCCAGGCTGTAGCTGAGCTAATCCAAAGCCAGGAGTTAAGAGCTTCCTCCAGCTCTCCCACATGAGAGCAGAAGCTGAAGGACTTGAGCTGTTCTCCACTACTTTTCCAGGTCATAAGCAGGGAGCTGGATTGGAAGTGCAGCAGTCAGGACACGAACCAGTGCCTATTGGGATGCCAGCACCGCAGGCAGTAGCGTAGTCTACTACGCCATAGTGCTGGCCTCTCACTTTGTGACCTTTGATCCATGTCAATCAATACATTATCAGCCCTGCTATGAGGAAAAAGTTAGAAGGAAGCAGACATGTAGCACACACATGACACTTAGATAACCCAGGGGATAAGCAAAGAATGGACATTGGGCACCTGCTGGACATGCATGAAACATGCGAAGCCCACAGGTCAAACTTACACAAGACTCCTGACAGCCATGGGGTATGTGGCAAGGGAAACATATCATGAGCTGATGGTGAGCTTGCTGGGTGGGCATTTCCTTCAGACTGGAACTCATTCCTTGCTGTTGGCATAGCCATTCAAACCCAATGAGCAAATAATGAATGAATAAGTGAATGAATGAAGAGATCAGCCACCAGAACTTTGCAAGGTCGTGTGCAGCCTGGAGGGTGAACAATGTTCTGGAACAGCAGGTTAAGCCTCCACTTGGGAACCTGTATCACGTGTGACAGTGTCTAGCCTTGAGTCCCAGCTGCACTTCCCATCCAGCTCTCTGCTAATATCACATTCTGGAAGGCAGCAGGCGATGGCCCAGGTATTTGGGCCCCTGCCACCCATGTGGGAGACCTGGATGGAGTTCCCGGCTCATGGCCTACGCCTAGCTATTTCAGGCAATTGGGGAAAGAACCAGCAAATGGAAGGTTTCCGTCTCTCCCTGCCCCATCCCTCTCTGACTTTCAAATAAATAAATAAAACTTTAAAAAAGAAAAAAGGAACATGCCGTTGTGAGCACCAAGCCATGCTCCTTGCATCAGGGACCCTGCAGGCGACCAGGGACCAGGAATGCAGGAAGGATGGTGAGGCGCTGGCCTGCTGCGTGCAGAGCTGTAGAGGGAGATGCATCTAGGAGGGGAGAAGGGATCACTCCCTCCAGTCTTGCCTTACCCTCCCAGCAGGATTCGGAGCTCCAGGACCGGTGGCATTTCACTTTCTGCACTCAGCATCGGCAGGTGTCAGTTTGTACCGGAGGAAGCTCAGCGCTGCCCTCCCAGCTCTGATAGGGTGGAGCTTTCTGATTCCAGGGTGAGAAGGACAAGGAAGAGGATTCAAGGACTTCCTTAGCCCTGGTGGCTTTCCGCAAACCACCTCAGTCACACGCAAGGGCTCCTGGAGTAACTTGTCAACCCTGATACCTCCACCCTCCCATCTGATCCTTTACCTCCCGTTCTTGCAGCCCAGGACCTACACTACCGCACCCAGCCCATCATCTGAGCCCACCAGACCTCCAAGCCACTGGCCTTCGCCCTTGGCAGTGCCATCACCCACGTGCTTTCACACCTCTGTGCTTGACCTGTCCTAGCAATTGTCTCTGATCTGTCCTCCACCAGACTCATTGTATGCATCTGGCGAAACTCAACCAGAAGCAACTCAAGATGGTGGTTGGAGGAGGGATACTTGTAGCAATCAGCTCCCTGACAGGAACACCCATGTCTCATTTTGAAGTGTCCAGTTCGAGTTCCCACCCTGGGAAGCAGCAGATGACAGCCCAAACGCTCGGCCCCCTACCACCCACAAGGGCCCCTCAAATGGAGTTCCTGGTTCCTGGCTTCAGCCTGGCCCAGCCCTGTACGGGCACTCAGAGTGAATCAGTAGATTAAAGATCTCTGACTCTTAAATTTAAAAACAAATTTTTAAAGCATTCAATCAAAATCAAAGCAAGGAAGAAGCTGGAGTCCCTGGCCCCTAAACTGGGACTGTGTCAAGGTTCAGCCACAGTAGAGGACAGTGGGATATTTCAAGGCACAGCTCAGGACCTATGCCTCATTTCTTGCCCGGGAGCAGGGGTGGTCACCACTGCAACCAGCTAGACCCTCGTGGAGGGCCACACTGGAGACGGGGTGACCCCCCAGGAGCTTCTCTGTACCTGCAATGGCTACCCTTTCGCTCCTCCGCCAGGATCCAGGGTGCCGCCCCTTCCACAGCTGCAGGTTGGGGTGGCTACACGGGGCTTCTCCTCCTGCCTGCTGGTAGTGCTCCATTGCCAGCCCCCTATCACCTGGCATGAAAATGTCCGAGGCTGGCCTTGGTTGTCTGGCCAGACAAGCGCAGGGTACCGGCCTTTTACTTCCTCCTTCCTCCTTTGCATTCCAGCGTCCCAGTTGGAGTCGGCCCTTGTCCCAGTGAACACTTGGAAGGGCTGCTGTGTAGGTCATGGGTGACCCACATCTTGCCAAAGCTATAGGCTCCTGTGGTCTCCGTGCTTGTCACATCTGGCACACTGGGGACTTTTCCCTCTATGGGGTGAATCTTCCTGTCCTTGGCTTCTCTGACCCCTCTTTCCCAGGCTTCGCCCCTTCTTCAAGTGAGGCTCTGCTTTGGTCCTCTTGCCTGAGCCTCTGTCCCCTCCCACGGTGACTGTCACCCAGCTCAGTGGCTTCACAGACTCTTGTCTGACTACCCTGGAAT